TAGGGGGTGGGCTACAATAGGACGACTAAGATGAAAAAACTCCACTTGGCTGCTGCTCGGCAGAAATAACCCAACTTCTTCATGCTGGCTGACCCAGGTGTTCCACAGCAGAAGAGTCTCATGGCTGTTGCTCAGTTGACTAATATAGTTGAGAAGTCTATCGATGGATTATGAAAATGTTGGGTAGCAGCAGCAATAGCTCCAACAAACCCCTCCTATGCTGAAGGTATCGCCAAAGACTTCCCGGCATATTCACTGCTACTATAATGGAATCGAATAGTTACGGGCTTCCATTTGGGGACATCCGGGGCACCCACAAGTTCTGTCTGGTAGTGCTAAGCGGAACATTTGTTATTTGTCTCCAAATATCGCTAGGTAACGGCAGTTTGAGGGTGTGCTGATTCGATAAGGCTACAAGAGACGTATACGTACAGACGCTGTATGGTCGAATACAACATTTAATAGTAATACTAATTATGTGATAGTATGAACTAGATGGTGCTCGTTGGTCAAGCATATGCCAATAGCGCTCGCTAATAAGAAAATGAAGCTAGAGTCGTTGATATTAGGTATCCTACTTACAGTATGTCCTATGGTAGGTCATCTAAATCAATTCAAATAACTACCTACCTACCTAACCTAACCCAGGTAGTCAAATTTAGCAAGGAGGTTAAACAAACCCAGTGCGAATGCAATGTGTATACTAATTATCAGTCCCCAGTATCAACGTACCGATAGATATCGATCTCTACTGTAGTTCGTAAGATCTCGGATCGAGGAGCCAAGTTTTGTCATATTCACATTTCACATTCGAGATGAGATATGGTCACTTGCCCTTTTAGGTATCAAGTATAACCTGATTGGTTCGTGGAATATGCAGGTTCGCTTGGTTGCATGTAACGCTCAAAAAGCTTCAAATTAACCTTAAAGTAGGGTTGGTTATGATTTCATGATTATGAGGTAGGTAGCTAGCTACTAATAGACCATGAGAAGGTGATTCCTCGTCACGGTAAGGAGGCTGAAGAATCTATAAGATACTTTTAATAGCCCCTCAATAATCTATACAATACACTGAAAGCTGGTAAATCACATCGTTGAATTTACACCCTTGTCAATATCCGTGCAAACAGTAAAGCGGCGTAGCACGTTAGTTGGAAGAATTCTATCACGACTACTCTCTGAACGTAACTTAACGTAACTTATTGAACGGGGTTATCATTAATATAAATCACTAATGTAGTCCGCCTGGTATTTTAACGAGGTTAGATGAAGCAAGGCTGCCCCTGGACTGATACCACCAGTCACCACTGGGCTTATGGTGAGGCCACGGCCCAGTTCCGTCGCGGCGTGCACTATTCCAAGGTCCGGCAGAAGACGACGTTCGATCTTTTCCACAAAAAAAATGCAAAACTCGCTTACAACCTATGCCTCAGATGCCAAAGACATTGCCAATTTGGCAAGCCGTCCATATCCACGAAGGATTATCGATTAATAATTATTTTCTGGCTATGCCTCGCGCCGAAACCTAGATTAAAAGTACTCAATGTATCGGTAAGTGGAGATTATATCGAGAGGATCGCCTTCTAGTATCTCCTAGAGCCGGATCACTTCACTTCTATTGGTCTACCCATAGTTCTGTACTGATACAACAGGATGCTACCCTACCGCATCATCGACGAGTGAGTTTCAGCCAGAACATTTAAGTAGCCACCTCGGGTCAATATTCGAGGATCAAACCCAATATCACTATAATTATCGCTTGTCCTGAGCGATACGAAATCTGAACTCTTCTTTTGTTTGGGTGCTTCGGATTCTGTCGCCGTAGCTAAATCGGCAAGGTGCTGTAAGCTTTGGTTTGCAGCATCCTGAGCAGTGGAAGGCCGAATATGCTCTGATATACGGTCCCTTATGACAGCATCCCACGTCGACGGAGCAAGGTTCGAGTCAAGAAGCTGCCTTAATAGCAATGTGGCTTCATCGCGGGTTTTTTCAACCTTGGCTAGCTCGAGTAGTGATAGCGCTACAAGGCAGAAGAAATGATGATTCAATGGGGTTAGGAGTTGTGTATTGGTAAGTAAGAGACCCACTGTCTCTTTGCATGGCCATAAAATGTCAGATGATTTTGCGTTGGTCTGGAAGAGATATGCAAGTAATCTACAATGCCAGTAAACCATGTGTAGTACGGGATGAGAGGCTGGCGTGATGCTTTGAGGAAGAATCTCTCGGAAGAGCTCTATGGAAAGGTTGAAGAAAGAACTCAAGATGGGCGCAGCGCCTGAATCGGGAGACAGAACCTTAGGAGGAGCTAAGGCAACCGGTGCAAAGTGGCCCAGAATGTTCGACAACCCTATCACCGTTAGCTTCAGACTGAGACTGTGGTATATTCGATGTATTCGATATACTTACGTGCTAAGTGGTACACATTTTCGCCGAGGATCGACTGCAGGCTAGGCAGAATAACCACGCTGTCGTTCGGGATAAACAACGGATTTGCAGTCCCAATAGCATTCCAACGGTCCAACATAATCAATGTCCACCAAGCTCGAGTTGCGATGTTTTCATTTGCATCGGATTCTAGAGGAGCATCGATACTCGTCTCTAGGCCTGAAACGTGAAGCCTCATTGAATAGGCTAGACCTACAGCGCGTCCCAGAACTGACGCTTTAGACGGGCCTCCGTGTTCGCCCTTCAGGGACGGCGGGCCGTAATTATCAGTTGCAAGAGCCGTTAGTATCAGTGTTTGAAGATGCACAAGGTTCATGACCGATGTACGCGGAGTCTGGTCGGATTCCCACTCTGTTATCATCCGTGTACCGGAACCAATATCGACATTAGTATACAAACCAGGGATCGAAACAAAAGACTGCATAGTACCGTAAAGCGCCTCGACGAACGCATCACGAAGGAGAGGCGGGCACTGCGCTAATTGACTTTCAACGCGAATTTTGCTTGCTGCGAGTAGAGGAAAACATGGATGAACTACATTGAGATAACCACTGAAAGCACTCTCGTCTAGTTCACGAGTTGTGCCATTATGGTTGAGGTCAAGCGGCGTCGTATCTATGACAGCAGCTGGACGGGGAGGTGTATCTGCATCGGGCTTGGACAAAGGTTGAGGCGCCAACCCATTAGCAGAATACGGAGGTGCTCTGAAATTTCCGGAAGGGTTCTGGTAAGGCTGGATCGGTCGTGGTTCCGAGCTCCATGTTGCCTGGCGCGAATTCGTAGTTGTTGTAAATTCGCCGGATATGTTTGAATACGGTCTTTTACGACTATTTTCCTCTGGCTGTGCAGGTGTGCCAAAGATATCGGCCGACTCTCTCCTGGCGCCATTCAAAAGCTCACTTAGGCTATCGACGTTGCCTCCTTCGCTCGCTAATTTGCCTTCGATGTGGTGTATTCGATCTGCCAGTTCTTTGATATATCCTTTGCTTGGGCCACGCTTCTGTGGGATTCTGCTGAAAAGACAACGAATCGCTGAACGACGGCAGTTGGAACAGGGTTCTTCACCGTTTTCCGAAACGGCATCACATTTCACCTTTTTCCTACGACACTCATCGCAAGCGCGAGATACTTTGGACCTCTTCCTTGGCGGGATACCGTCCGGTATAGCCGAAGCTTGGGCTGCGTAGTGCTGTGCCAACTGTTCCATTGTGCTCTGTGACTGTATTTGAGGGGGTTGCTGATGCGGGTGCGACTGCTGCGGTGCTAAATGCATCTGGTGGTGTTCCTGTGGGTGCTGCTCAGGTAAGTATTCATGTTGCGGCTGTTGATCTTGTATGTGCTGTTCATTATGGCCAATGGAAGAGTCGTGGGTGCCCATGGGGTGATCATCATGGGTCAATTGATCATTGTGATGCTCATGAATGTGGTTCTCGATATGATTGTTATGTTCTGGTATCTGATCATGCTGCATTTGGTCATCCTGTTGCTGGAGGTGAGGTGCGTGGGCACCGGACTGAGCTATTACATTTTCAAGGTTCGAGTCTTCATTGGGATCGAGAGGTAATGTGGGCATGCCTTGACTAAGACCCTGGCTGAGCTGAGCAGCAAGTTGCAGCTCTTCGGCACTTGTAATAGACGGGCGGACATCTTGTTGACAAGGGGTGGAGGGTTCGATATTTTCGGGCTGTGCTTGTTGATGGTCCGAATTTGAGTCGTTATACACTGCCGTACTATCTTGGCCATTCGTTACGGACACGGGATATTGTTGTATGTCAACAGTCTCGTCCCGGATTTCGGGTTTTGAGTCTTCGAGCATGGGATCTATATCGGGCATCGTGGCTAGTCGCTTTTAGACGCGTCAGAGTCTACAGGACGGGTGACAACGCGATCCTTCACACAATGCGATACTACTTGCGCTAGAAACAAACTTAGGCGCAAATTGACGCAACTGCAATAAAACAGGATGTTGCTTCTTATCCCCCGCCGAAGATGGCAACGATGCACTTGCGACAGGTAGAAGAACAGAGTCGCGGAGTGTAGTAGTCTATATTGCTTCGTTATCTGCGAACAGAGGAACGTTAGAATTACATGGCGACAGCACCAGTCGTGATGAACAGGAGTATGAAAAATGCGTCTTTAGATCTAATCCAAGACTGTTCAAGCCTATGTAAAGCCATTGATATATAGCAACGCCGGCGCGGGCGCAGCAGGTGTAGAAGCTCCCATGTCGAAATGCGACCAGACAGACGAAAAAAAAGAAAATAATGTAGAATTAGATCAGACGTACCGGCAGCAAGTTCCAATAATATGGGGATGGAAAATAGATAGACGAATTCCGGGTTTGCCCAGAAGCGGAGGAGGAAGAACCTGAATAGCCGATGTATGTTTTTATTTTTTTATTTTTAACCCAGACTTTTGTTCCTCGGTCTCCAGGGCTCTGCGCGAAAGCCGGCGATTCAGAATCAATTCTCGGAGACGGGAAAAAGTTTCGAGTTGAAAGGATCAAATCAGCGCGTGCCGGTGTGGAAGAGGGAGTTGGAAAAAGAATTTTGCGGAGGGTCGACAAGGACGAAACCCGAGAATTTGTATATATGCTTTAAAGCGTATGTGTATGCGTCTTTATCCCTGTCCCCAGCAAACTTAAAATTTGTTGTGCATGATATTTAGGTAGGTAATATGAGTATGCACAGGTCCGTCATATTACCTCAGCTATCAAGGTTACCTAGGTAGTTATCTGCGCGTACTGTATTACTAAGCACAGTCATTCACCAAATATGACAAAGACTGAAATTCATGCTTAAGAAAGTAAATATCCTCCCTCTCTTCCCAGTACCTCTTTTCAATTACGTGGCAGCACACAATCTTCCACAGCAACCCTCCTAAATAACAACCGTAGCTCCCTTTGCTACTCGTCCATACGTAGTCCCGTACCTTTCAAGCATATGCTCCTCAGCCGTCAGGGCCTTACCATCAGCACCAACAGTAGTAGGCTCGCTCCCATCAAAGGGGCTTAGCTCAACATCAGTATTGCCGTCAAAGAAGAACGGTGCCGAATACCGGTCCTTGCCGCTACGATTAACAACACGGTGCACAGTGCTCTTGTACATATTCTTAGTCCATAGCGATAGCATGTCGCCGATGTTGACCACATAAGCATCCGGGTTGGGGTCCACGCCAATCCACGTATTGGTAGAATGGTCTAGGACCTCGAGGTCACCGGAGCCGTCTTGTAGCAAGAGTGTAATTGCGCCTAACGGATATAGAAGAGCAAAATTAGGATTTTTGTCCCATTCGCTGTATAGCTATATGGAAACTTGCAAAGGGGGATGAATTAGGGAACACTTGCCAAAATCCGTATGCGCTCCAGCTCCGAGCTGACGCTCATCCGTTGAATTCTGCGGCGGGTAGTGTAATAGCCGGAGGGCGCAAACCGGATCGTTCGAGATGAACGGTACAAAAACGTCATCGCCATAGGGTAGGCCCCGAGCGAGAATTTCCATAACCTTACACGACAACTCGAAGACGACGGAGTAGTAGGTTTCCGTGGGGATTTTTAACGCTTCGTCGGGGAGTCCTTCTGGGAATATGTTCGGGCCAATCAAGTATGGATGCGCTTGTGCCCGTGGATCATCGCTAGCAATATGTTGCCCGATGGAGAAACCCTATGCGCCGAGTTGTAGTAATAGTTAGTTACTACCTTGTAGTAAAGTACGGCATAGAGGCTAACCAGGTATTATAGATGTAAATCTTCCATAGAGTTACTTACCTCTTTAATATCGGGAAGAGTATCTTCTTGTAATGCCTATTTCCATCCGAAGTCTGACGTTAGTTCTATATGATAACTATATTGGAAACTACTCTGATACGGGATAGAATAAACGGAAAGGCTTGAACTATGACCACTAACCTGGGCGCCGATTAACTCATAACCCCTGTTCTTTAAAACTAGAGGTCGTATCTTTTTCTTCTCCTCTAGCGGAATAGCGAAAAAAGTCTCTGCAGCCTTGAAGACAGCGTCTCTTAGCTCTTTAGGCACGCCGTGGTTAACGATCTGGAAGACTAAAGCGAGCAGAATTATTAACTGTTTTCTTGAGCCTTAAGCTTCGTGAGTCTATTAAATACAGATAAGCCCGGTATTTAATCGTATCAAATACTATGCAGATAGAAATGAAATTGATGCAAATAGTCGTTTCTAGAATACTGGTGGTGACTTACAGCCACTTGTAACACAGGCCTGCCGCACATTCTCAACGACTTCAGCAGCATCTGCTGAAGTCGGGTCTTCAAGGAATGGGGATATATCGACCGTTGGAATCGTAAACCGAACGGTGGGTTTATTGCTAGTCATTGTCGCGATATATCCCCTTACCGAAAATATAAAAGTTATCTTAGGTACTTAGACCAAATATCTTTAGTTCGATATGTGGTTGAAACTAGAGTTTTCCAGAGAAGACCTCGTAGCCGTGATGTAACTCTAAAGTCTCCAGCAGAGGTTGCTTACGCCCAAGTGTTATCGGCGGGGGGTTTCCACGGAGCTCGCCGGCCACCGGCTACCGGCTTCGGAATACCCAGTTTCGAGGCTTAGGTATAGGTAGCTAAGGTTGTCTCTATTGCCCTTCGAATATATATAATTGAGATGGTGATGGATGCTATGTGCTATCCGCTTTAACCCTTTCGTTATCCAACGGAGTGCAGAGTGTAGAGTTTAGGTCAGGTAGTGTAAGAAACTCACTATTTGAAGTTGTAAACTTTCATTCAATGGCAATGTTAGGCGTATCTTCAACTTTTAGAATTCTGATGATTCCGTGGATTACATTTTATTATAATAGATAGTGTTACATATTTGGTACCAACCAACAGCCCGAGATAATCTTACACGGGCTACGCTGGATAGATGGTATTATTGGGATCTGATAGCCGACGTTCGAGGTCCTGAGACCAAACCAGTACATGCTCTATAGATAATCCACCTTGGGCAATTATGCAATCATACAATCTTGTATAATTGCTGTGATATTCAAATAATATTAGGCCGCATCCCCTCGCGCTAGCACGATGCTTTTACTTCCCTCCATTCCTGTTCTTGCGACGATTTTTCTTTTTCCCTTTATTGCCCTTCGTAGCGACGGTGGCAGTGGCGGCGGAAGACGTTCCATCTTCATCAGACGATGCAGGTATAATTGCTTTCTTCCCTTCGTCGCCTGACGATGTATCGTTAGCCTCGAGAATGACTTTACGAATACCACCGGATTCGATTATATTTTCGGTAATGCTGCCGCTACGCACGTTGCCTCTTCTCCTCCCGATAGCGTCACATATACTCTCTATGCTTTCTGTCGTGGATTCCTGTGCCGGCGAGGTATCACTTTCGGCTATGACACTAAGCTTAGTCTGTGTACTTTTAGTCACTTGCTCGGAACCCTCGCCTTCAAGGCTGGTCACGATCTCGGGTGGAGGATTAGAAGGTGATTCGGTGTAACTCCGTTGTAGGGCATGTGTGCCATCCTTTGCGTTGATCTGAGATCCTAATAAACTTGTGCGTTCATCGACAATCGCAACTAGATCTTCTGCGATATCGTCAGTCGCAATAGAAGTTGAATGTTGCTGGGCGCTAGTAGCTGCTGTTGAGCCGGGTTTAAGCTTGACTGCCGAAATTCGTGTGTTCTTGGGGTTTGATGCAGGGTTTGATGGGCCAAGATGCTTCAGGTGATCCCTCATTTCCTCAAAGTTGGCTTTGACTGGTACCATAGTGTGCACCAATTGTCCGTCTTGACCGGCCGAACGTCTTCGCATCAGCAACGTTGTCATCTTCGGGCTGGAACCGAGAGCAGAAACGTCCGTCTTGCTGTTAATCGACGTACCCCGTTTAGGCTGAGGCTCTTGTCCATCTTCATCTATGTCGATAAGCGTGCTATTCCTGATCTCAAGGTCCTTAGCCATAAGTTCCCTCCGCAAAGCTCGAGCTTTAGGGGCGGGATGAGATCTACGGATGGCTTTATGCACATCGACATATACATCCGACTCGTCAATGATTTCCCTGAATTTGGCTTATGAGTGGCAGGTCAGAAATTAAAACCATAGGGAAATTACTTACTCTCCGATAAGTTCTTCAATCACATCTTCTAGCGTCACGACACCTAGGGCACCATGATCATCACCAGGAGACTCCGAGATAAGTACCATGTGGGATTTTCCTTCCTGGAAAAAGTTGATTATATCAAGACAGCTAGTTTCAGGTCGGGTCTCGGGAAGGGCAGCGAGAGCAAAGTCTTTAACTCGCTTACCATCTTCAGGATCATAGGTGATGAGGATTTTGACCAAGAGCATGCCAACAAAATTCGTCGGGTTTCCAGTTTGATGGATAGGGATGCGAGAATAGCCGGCGTCGAGAATTTGATCAATAGTCTTTTCGTCCAACACGGTATCCTCCGACATGGTAAAGACATCCTCCATTGGTGTCATAACCTCCTCGACAGGCTTGCGTTTCAGATCTAGGACAGCACTGATGATGGTAACTTCGTCTTGGTTTAGACGCTCGTCAACTTCGCCTAGAGATTTATGAAGCGTGACCAGCGTCTTCAACCCGCTTTTCTTGTATACAGTTCCATGGTCTTTACCTAATAACCAGTCGAGGAGCTTTGCAGTGGGCCATGCGACGGGAGCGAGTAAGTACATCATCAGGAGCACGGGCTTCGACATATATCCGCCGATCTGAAGACCATAGCGAACACAAACAGACTGTGGCAAGATCTCGCCGAAGATTACTGCGGGGGATAAATATTAGCAAAATTATAAGGCCTACATAGACGACTTTAAAGGACCCGTACCGATCAGGATAGTACTTCCAACAACAGCCGCAACGCCACCGCCAAAGCACCTATCTAGCACGACGGGAAGAGTTTCATTGACAATAACATTGGACAATAATAACGTCACCAAGACCCAATGTTTGCCTTTATTTAAGAGATCGTGGACACGTTTTGCGTTCTTTCGTTGGGGCTCCTCAGCATCTAAAGATATTACTTGGAGATAGATTTCATCCTGACCCATGAGTGCTATGGTCAACCCAGCAAAGGCACCTCCTGAGAGCACGAGGATCATGGACGCGACGTAAAGCACCCAGAGGGCGCCGTCTTCGGCTTTTTCGGGAACATTGTCGAAAGCATTGTCGAGAGCGTGATAAGATGTTGGAATCGCGGATGTAAGGCCGACTGAGAGGAAGAGGGCTCTGGATAGACTAAGTACAAGTGTACGGGCGCGAAGGATACCTTCGTTCCCCATGCTTGCCGTTAACCTCGCGAGGTGAAGCCGATTGATTGAGGTACACTACTGCCTAAGACGGCTTCGAGCTTGACTCGGACCAGCGCAGTTTATCAATTGATGGAAAGGTGCTACGAGAAAGTTGTTAGGGATAGAAGGGTTGCCTTTTGAGACAGGCAGTTGGCCGTTGTTCCGGTAGCCTTTAGAGCGCCACCTCAGCCAAGCAGTCAAGACTGGGATCGCACTAGGTACCAATTAAATTTGCCCAGCTTGAAATGCCAATGGATGGGTATAGATTTAACGACTATGGTCAAAGGACCATGCCATCCATCAAGGGGCTCGCAACGGTGAATAAAATAATAAGTAGGTACCTAAATGAATAAGAAGAAGGATGGAAAATTAGAATTAAGCTCCGATGACGAAGCTTAGCCCAATGGATGATGAGAACTTGATAAGCTCATGTGGGGATAAGAACATCAGATCACAAATATTGTTACTACGCGTATTGGCATATTATTGGCATATTGGCGCGGGAAGGAGAAGGTGGGCTGCAGCTACCCTTGACTGACCTTAGCTTAGGTAGCTGCTTCAACTGCAACATTGAACCTACCTAAATTAGGTATAAGGTACCTAGGTACAATACCTATCAAAAGTACAAAATATCTCAGTTATCAATCAACCACATCGTCTTCTTTACGCCTGATCATCATGAACGATATAGACTAACCACACACGTACCTTATATACGGCATTTGACATGACATATATACATTAGGTATATAAGCGCGTATATCTACCTAGTCATACCATATGGCGTTCATTCCAAAACCTGGCTCCGGAATCCGACATCTTGCAACACGGCCTAGGAATTCATCTTTCCACCTATAGATCTCAATCCATCCCTCTTGATCGTCTGTAATCGCTAACCACTCGTCGCTCCAATCGCATGGTGCCACTGCATTGCTATGGCCGCCGCTCGTAGGTGTAGGATTTAAGCAAATCTGTCTCTCGATTGACCCGCAGTCCCGCAACCGAAACGCCGCAATGTAGCCCTGTAGGTCGAAACTATTGGCTCGACTCGTCGCGAATAGATAGTCGCCCGACTTAGTGAGGACACAAACATCGCTGCGGTACATGGTATCGTGTTTAGGTATTCCCGGCGGGATCAAAGGATACGAATGGTGCGTATAAACGGGCATGTGCGTTGCCGGATCGATAACGTATTCACAAAGTCGATTTCCAGCTTCCATCAGAGCATATAGGTAATTTCCCGACGGATGCAAGGCCACCCACCGCGGGTGGTCTTTTGGATTCGGCGCATCAACGCTTCCCACAAGGTCAACCTCTCCCGACGCTGCTTTCTTATGTACCCATAGCTTGTTGGCTCTCAAGTCGGCCGAGTACAGGTAGGTTTCCGTTGGGTCGAATACCATACCGTGAATACCCGTATTGGGTTGGTATGGATAATGTTGTATATCCTTATCAAGAGCGCCGCTTGACGACACGGAGAATACGGAACCATGGCCGGCATGTGAATAGAATGGATTGCAGTAAACGGCGTATGGGGGCTGCTTTGCGGCGAGCAGAAAGATGGCGCGAGTATTGGTAGTGGACAGGCTTGCTTGAGCTACGTGCCCAAGATTACGAGTCAATCACCGGGTAGGTTGGCTAACAGGCCAATGCGAAACTTACGGTCGTGGTTCATTGAATGCGAGGCCTCGTGGACGATCTCGGCTGGACTCTTGACAGAAAAGCTGGACCATTTCTTCATGGCCGCGCCGTATATGTTCTTCTTGGCATGCTAAGACAATAACATAGGTATGAGCATTCGGGAGATTGAGTAACCTCGGCTGAACCTGAATCTGAACTTGGACTAGGTCCGGGGTCCAAAGGGGTCCAAAGCGTCTGGGTTTGACTTACATCGAAAGTCATCCAAGAGATGGGTTCGTCATGAGGGATCTCGGTTCTCTTCACCAGCTCTAATGTCAATTTCTCATCGTCAAAAGCTACAGTGAATATGGCTCCGGGTGGAGTCCACGTTCCTATCATCAAGTGATGGATCGGCATCCTTCGTTCAACCTTATCGTGGGACGAGCGTAGAAACGGTATAATCGCGACCTACATAACAAGTTGCCCGGACGGAGAAGTGAATTTGAGTTTCAAGCCCTCGATCACGATAACAACATAGACAATTAGCTCAAGTCGTTCCCCAACTATACAGACAGGCACCCAAGCTGGCCGTTGCACCGCATATTCTCCAATGAATGGTACCTCGCTTTGGGACCAACCACCAAGCTCGGTCAAAGTACTCTGGTTGCATATCCCCGCATCTCCTTAGCGATATGGATATCGCCCCTCTTTACGGATCCGAAGCATGCGAACTCTTACACCATTTTCCACCATTGCACACCTAAGTATGGCACCTCAATACCTCAATGTGGGGAAGAATCTATAAGCTTGTACACAGTAAACCACGTTTTCATTCACATAATCGGCACTAGTAGCGGTAGATGGCCACGGCAGGCGGGTTAATTCGATAGCTACCGAGTGGATGGCTACATGCTGAATCTCTAATTGCCACGCTGCAATGCCGGATAAACGCCTCATCGCCAGATTTCCCCGCTATGTCGCAGCTCGAGATGTTGTTACGCGTCTGGGTCTTGGATCTTAATGGGGTCGCGGGTCTTCAGTCAACAGGCGTTGTTCTCCGTCAAAGGAGAAAAGAGAGTAAAGCTCAGTCAAGCTCAGTCAAGCTCGTCGACGTCTTGACTTCTAATTGACACGAGCATCAGCAATGTGACATCATCCATCATCAAGGATGCCTCTGGCGAAAGCAACCCTTAGTTGGGGTATTGAGGAACTACTATGCCTAAATCGTGTAGCGGTCGTTCATGTATGCCGCTACATATTCCCATAAAACCCCGGAAGCACGCGGTTGGAGTTGGTGTTGGAGTCCCAGAAGCACGTTCAATGCCTGCCTTCTTAAGGGTGATATATCCCCCGATGGACAAGGAGGTGTATATGGCTGCCGTGAACTAAATCCGATCCACATATAGGATCCCTTATTGAAGGACGGCGGGGTTTCCGAGTCTTCAGGGACCAACCTATCAAGGAAAATGCATTGCTCATACAATAGAACAGCTAATGGCAAAAGCTTAAATAAATACTGTTCGACCTGATGGCTTTCGTCCCATGATGCTAGGTGTCTCATACTATAGTAGTCTTGTGTCCTTGTGTAAAATATATCTAGGCCTTACTCTGACTTCAGTTTCGTGTATACAAACAATACATCATCTCCCTCTCTTTCTATTTTCTATATATATTTCTACCAATAATTTCATCCCTACTCATCTAGAGATAGAAATCCCACCTTCGCCAGCTAACCCTACCATCCCTTCGTAGTCACATTAATCAAAAAGAGCTCTCTCAATATGGCTCCCGAAGCTACTGGTGTGTCCAATGCGGCACAAGCTCCCAAACCTTCCCGGTTCGATCCTACCTTCACCCAGCATGTCATCGATACTATGGGCCCTAAGACCACCGAGAGGAACCGGGTTCTCTTGTCAGCGCTGATCCGACACATTCACGACTTTGCTCGAGAAACAGAGCTCACAATTGACGAATGGTTAGCGGGCGTCAGTTATATCAACGCCGTCGGCCGGGTTTACTCGGAGTCGGGACAGACGAGAAACGAGGCTCATCGGTTATCCGATATTCTCGGACTCGAAACGTATGTCTTACCAATTAGAATTGCACCATATCATATATGGCCGTAAACTAACACGTAGCTCTATCCAGGCTGGTTGACGAGATTGCCCACAAGATCATCTCCGAAACAGACGTGGACCCGACATCCTCAGCCATCCTCGGGCCCTTCTGGTCGCCCAACGCACCCTTCCGCGAGAACGGCGGAAGCATAATCCAGGACCCGGCGCCGAACGGCCAAGTCGTTCTCATGCACGGCGTCATCAGCGATCTAGTCACGGGCAAGCCCATCCCCGGCGCCGTCTTCGATATCTGGCAGGCCTCGTCCAACGGCAAGTACGACTTCCAAGACCCCAAGAACCAGACGCCGAACAACCTGCGCGGCAAGTTCCGCGCCGACGAGAACGGCAAGTACTGGTTTTACTGCTATTATCCGACTGCCTACTCGCTGCCCACAGACGGCCCCTCCTACCAGCTACTGCAGATGATGGATCGTCACCCGATGCGTCCGGCACACATCCACATTATGGTATGTTCTTTCTAGCCAGTGTTCCCTTGTCGTCCGTTTCTAACATACACCCCCCATAGGTCACACACCCCGAATACAAGGGCTGCACAACCCAATTATACCCCAAAGACGACCCTTGGCTCTCATCCGACACCGTGTTTGCCGTGAAAGACGACCTAGTGGTCGACTTCAAGCCCCTAGAAGGCGACGACAAAGCAAAACTCGAGCTGGACTACAACGTCATCTTAGCCCCTAAGGATTATAAGGGCAAGCCGTTTTAGACGAAAACTCCTTGGGAGTTAATGTGGTCCCACAAGAGCTTGAGAAGCAAGTCAACTTATTAAGCTTTGGTACTGGGAACACAAATTCTTGTTGATATTTAGTATATGTGAATGTAGTTAAAGTAAAGCGCGATGTTTTACAGATGGGAGCCAAGAAGTTCAACTGGCACTAGTGCCTTCGAAAAAGGAGGAGAAGGAGAAGGAGAAGCATACTGTGTCTTAAGTTATCTTAGAGCGAGGACATGGACGCTCTGGTGTTACTGCACTAATTCATGCGTCTGGGCTGATATATATAGGTAGTCTATCGTCCTCAAGCTACAGCCCACTAAGATAATGCGAAGCTTTCACCACGGTGATGATTTTCATACCAGCCTGGTTCGTAAGGGGATGAGGAGATAATGAGTATGAATACGCATTAATAATACGATATTACTACTACCACTACTACTGCTAACTATTAAATGAATAATAACTATTATTCATTAACTTCCTCCCGCCTTAATCCGCAGTCCGAATTCATGATTCGAGCCAATATCGAGTAGACCTAGTTATACTTGGCCATTTCGGATTCAGCAATATCCTTCGCAAGACAGAATGCCATCCCCTCAAACATCCCTAGGCACATCTCCTCCGCCGAGCATGCTTCAACAGTAGCCCATCTGCCGTCATAGGTGCAGGCCTCGACGGTTGTGCTGCCATGGGCACACTGCTGCCAACCTGGCTCGCAGTCCTAAGTTGAGAGAGTTCGGTAAATGGGGTCATCACCCACCACAAATTCGTTATAATTGCACTTTACGCGGGTGTTGTAAAGCTGCTTGCAGCTAGGGCAGGGTCCAAAGTCCTGCCACACGTGCTCCGCGTCGCACGCCTCGACACGGTCTCCGTTGCAGCGCACTTCACCGCCGAAGCACGGGTTGTCCTCAGCCATACGAACAGATGAATGTGGAGCCGGTGTTGACATGACAGGTATGCCTAGCACAATTCCCGGAGTTGGTGTTGCTGGAGCTGATGTGGTAGTTGGAACTAGTGTAGTAGTTGGAACTGATGTAGTAGTTGGAGCTGACGTATCCGGAGTCGATGAAGTTGTCGGCGTGGTTTCAGGTGCGCTGGTGCTGCTGCTGCTGCTGCTGCTGCTGCTGGTAGGCACTGACCCGTTATCGCAGAAGGGCTGGCCGTCAGTGTCAGTAACGCATTCGAGGCACTGTTGTATACGCTGCCACGAGAGATCCGCATTGCAGAGATCAAGCCAATTACCCTCGCAGCGCAGAGTACCTTCTACGCATTGAGCTGGATGAGTCGGCTCGGGTGGCATATCCACATACGGCACACAATCTATGGCGCCGCCTTCGTCTTCACTACAGTCTTCGCACTTCATTAAGCGGTGCCACTCGGCGTCATCGTCGCATATCTCCTCCCACTTTCCATTACATCGGAGCTGGTCCTTCTTGCAAAAGGTTGGCGTGGGCTCAGGCGTTGGAAGGGTAGTCTCAGGGATGCAGTCGGCTTTGCCTTCACCTTGGTTGAAGCACTCAGAGCATTTCCGCCACCTCTGCCACACGCCAAACCCGTCGCAAATCTCCTCCCAGAGCCCGTTACAGCGCAATTCAGCCTCCCTACAGTTGATATGAGAGGGCGAGTATCCACTGGTAGGAGTGGGAGTCAAAGTGCGAACAGATGAGTCCACCGGGGCGTTACGCTTCAATCCGGTGTCCGATACACATCCCTTAGACAACAAGAGTCAGTTATTGCGTCTTTGAGAATACACGAGAAGGTCCCAGTGGTATCTCAGATGCGTTAATCCATCACCGTTTGAGAATGGAGTTCTGATTCAGAGAGAGATTCAGATAACGGGAAAACGAAGTCAAGTTATACTTACAACGGTACCATCAGCCTCAGCATTGCACCACGACGGATGCACACACTTTTCCTTGACCACCCATTTGTTGTTAGAATCGCAGTGGTAGACGTAGTCGTCATTGCAAGTTGTGTGTCCAACCATACAGTGGTTGGCATCGTTTTGGACGGTGGGTAGAATAGCACCTAGCACCGAGGCGGATAGTCCCAGGCCAACCAGCGTGGCTTGACTAATAGGGAGCATCGTGGAATATAAGTGGTATTCTGTTGATTAGAATGAAATGAGTAGCTGAGTGGGTAAGTGTCTATGGTGGAATAGACCGATTATTGGATTCGAGAACGACAGTAGCAGACACACCTAGATATATGAACGAAGCAAAGCTACTTTTTAGCTAACTTGTATCTCTTCACCTGGTTGCTTGATTGTAAATTAAAGATGGGAAATTAAGAAGATGTTCTGGGGAGTCTATGTCTGTCTTGAGAGGAGGGGGAAGAGGTTTTTGTAAGGAGAGAAGCCAAAATATAACTTCCCTAGTCTGTTCTAGCTAAGCTCGTAGCAAGAGCGCCCTCTTGTTTCTGCAAGTGCTGAGGTCAACGCTCGATACCTATCGTCATTTAGGGCGGTAACGGTAAGGAACGGTCTGGGAATATTAGCATCAACCTTCACTTCGAAACCGTTAGATCGTCTAAGCAACGACGAGCCTCCTGCACACCCACCCTACCTATCTACACATACTCAACTTATCGGAAACGACATTTTATCCAATTGCCTCTCATCATAATTGTCGGATCACAGTATAAAGGTAAAGATAGTCTCATATAAGCTCGACGATCGAACGTGACTATGAATTTGAAACTCATGAGTTGACTCGTATCTAGATATCTAAAGCACAAAGCTTCGTTCGTAATAGAAGCGAGAACTAGTCCTACTAATCTTTTAAGATGTTGAACTATGAATTCATTCCGACACCAGTCGAATTAAGCCGTTAGTCCAACGGTGCGTACTATTAAACGGGAGTGGTTTCAATACGTCCGCAAGTTTAGATACATGCTGGCGCCCCTACTAGACCTTATTTCATATGTACGCCTGCCTATAAACCACGGTCCCTAGGTAGCAGCGATAGCTAACATTGACCCATTTATAACATTCATTAAGGTAGGTAGATACACGTATGCCGTCGCCTAGACATCTTATATTAAGGTCGGGAATCTTAAGGAGTTTGCTGATGTTCTTCCTAATGCATGTATGGACAACCCAGCCACATCAGGCTCACTTATTTTCGGCTAGGTAGCAATATGTAAATGCAATATTCTGATAGGCGTATACCTACGCTAAGATCAAGTTTATTGGTAAAATTATAGACGCTTATATACCCTCTTAACGTATCGAGGGATAAAAGGTCCGAGAACGTTTCTCTAACGCCCCTTTTGCGGTAGGCCTTAGCCGGGTCTATTCGAAAACTGCGCTTATCACTTTTAATCTAATTTTGGGCAGGTGTAAACATCGAGAAATAGGTAACGGCATTAATAGATATAAAACCATGGCCGTTTAAAGTCATTCATCACGAGGAGAAGAAAAATATGATAGTTCAGTTTCAATATAATCTCGATACGTGCGTGCGGAAACCATGCGACAACGCACGTATACCCATCAGTTGCGCAGTAATTGTACCTCGGGGAATCGATTTCGTAGATTAACTACGAGGCCTCTAATGGGATTGTTTGAGTTGGGGTTGGGGTTGGGGTTGGGGGTAGGTAAGAGCCTAAGAGTACTCATGGTCTCGATGATGTTGACATCGATACCAACAAACCCATCCGGAATTTAACCCAACTGCTGTATAGATGATTTTACTGCAATTCCATATGATGCCATATGTTATGTAGTAATTACAGCAATTTGTAGTGCATAGTCAACCGAAATAGTGGGATCAATCTTTGAAAAATTGTAAGGGCCTGCTCCCTACAGTTAACTAACTGGTAGAGTTATTCACAGTGGAGAAGCCATCGCCGGATTGTGGCCTGGAAAGAACGGAGCAGGTAGTAAATATAAATTATTTGCATATGTCAGAAGTATATATGGCTAGAATATTGGACACACGTATTTGTCCACTTACAGGCGATCTGCTTTGGTCTTATAGGGCTGAATTTTGACGCATGGCCTATCATATTCTCCGTTCCGTACGCGATCAGCCATTGGGTAACCACTGTCCCGGGATTCGGAGCTTTATATTGATTACATGTAGGCGGTTAGCCGCTCGCTATTACACTTCTTATAGTACCCGAGGCCACGCAAGAATGTGAATGGTGCCTCGCGAGAGCTCAGTTGACTGACGTTAGGTATTAGCCAAGGTATATACCAAGATAATAAGATGTGCAGATCGTGTGTGTTCTTGATTGTATCTATGGGACCTGGGACTTGGCAATGCTGTCAGGTTGTCTTATGATCTCTTAGTTGGCTATTAGCGCTCCGCGTGAAGATATTTGGTCGTGGGCTTTAGGCGGTGCATAATGTACCTACCTAATCATACACATATAAATATAAGAGGTATGCATTTTATATAAACATGAATTGTAGATTATAGGTCTCTACGTACGTATACATCATGGAAATCGGAGTTAGATCATGAAATAATGATCTTTGCAGGTTACACATAGTTATCAGTTCACATATCAGTTGGTATCTAAGGTGATGGTGATTCTATTATCCCCGCATCTTCAGCTGCTAGCGTCATCTTGCCCCGCCAGCAGCTAGTGAGCTCTTTCGTCACAAGCTCTGTAATCTAAACAGATAGGGCTACTTAGGGCCATCTATCTGCACGCTAGACACCGTTCTGCGTGGGACTAGACCGGAGCTGGGTAATGCATGCTGCCAAGGGTCGCTGCCAAGGGTCCTTCCCTTGTTAAGCCCCTGTAGAAGATTGAAAACATGAGGGCACCCCTGCGGTGTACCACAATAGCCCGAGTTTTCGAAGGTAATATGGTGCTGACGGGGAATGGCGCGCGTAGCGCGCCATTCCTCGGCAGCGGCACCTGGAAACCTCGAATACCGACCTTTACAAAGATATATATAAAAAAAAAGAAAAAGGGAGAAGCGTGTGGGATTCGAACCTAGGCTTAAAAATACGTATTTTGAGAAAAAGATGAAAGTGGGGACCTGGAAAAGCACGTGTGTAGTTCCATTTATTTCGGGGATGCACCGAATTAAAACGCTTAAAAAGCGCCGCACGGACGAACTTCCTCTTTCGAAAAAAGGTCCCCAAGACAATATCCCTCGTAAACTCGGGCAAAGACCTTGATGATCACCTCATCCTAACATTATATATCATCCTACCTAATCTATAACCATCATCCTCCCGACTCTTTTCTCCAACTTCTTTGTTTTGAGTCAATTCTATCCCCGACTCCTTTATTATATTACATTGGTAAATAACTATCTTGTGTTTTCTTTGCGGCGTCCTTCCGCCTACGAGGACCGGAATTATTGGCTTGCGCTGCTTGCGCTGCTTGCGGTGCTTGCGGCTGACCGCTTGCTGATCTTACCCATTCCGATTCCGCATCTCAGTCGCGCGTGGACTGAGTCACCAATCATCGCGAGCGGGCCATGGCTTCTATAACCGCGACCGTGACGGCGACTTTACTGTCGACCGTCACGACCACTGCTGCTCACGCCGCCACTACCACGGCCGGTCCTGCTCCCCAAGGTGGTATCTTGGAAGGCGTCTTACCGAATGCGTATATCGCTTCGAATCCTATCCAGCTGTTTATCATTCAGGCCGGTATCATCATCATACTATGCCGTCTTCTTCATTACCCGCTGTCCTTCTTCGGTCAACCTCGCGTCATCGCCGAGGTTATTGGTGGTATCCTTCTCGGTCCCTCCGTTCTAGCGCGAATTCCCGGCTTCAAGAATGCTATATTCCCTACCGAATCTATGCCAGTTCTGAACAATGCCGCTAACCTCGGTCTCATCTTGTTTCTCTTCCTCATCGGTCTCGAGGTCGATATCCGCATGTTCACTGCTAATTGGCGTGTTGCTTTAAGTGTCGGTCTGGCGGGTATGCTTTTGCCCTTTGGCTTAGGTTGCGCCATCGCTTGGGGTTTGTACAACCAGTTTCATAATGACGGTAATACCGTAGACATCAACTTTGGCGTTTACGCCCTCTTCATTGGTACTGCTTTGGCTATTACAGCTTTCCCAGTTTTGTGCCGCATCTTATCCGAACTCAACATGCTCGGTACCCCCGTAGGCGTCACGGTTCTTGCTGCTGGTGTTGGTAACGACGTTGTCGGCTGGATTTTGCTTGCGCTTTGTGTCGCATTGGTTAATAACGGCTCCGGCATAGCCGCGCTTTGGGTCCTTCTCGTTGCTGTTGGTTGGGTTCTATTCTTAGTCTTTGCTGTTAGGCCGCTTTTCCACCTGGCCTTGAGAAAAACGGGTAGTATACAGAATGGACCGACACAAGGCATGATCGCGGTTACCATCTTGCTGGTCCTAACATCGTCATGGTTCACAAGTAAGTGGTCTTCTCGGACCTTAATGCTAAAGTAATACGTCTAATCTTCTAACCTTTCTAGGTATCATTGGTGTGCATGCCATCTTTGGCGCCTTTTTGGTCGGGTTGATTTGCCCCCACGATGGTGGCTTCGCTATTCATGTGACCGAGAAGATTGAAGATTTGGTCACGGTTCTCCTTTTACCCCTTTACTTTGCCTTGTCTGGGCTAAGCACGGATCTCGGCCTCTTGAACGACGGTATAACTTGGGGCTATGTCATTGGTGTCATTCTAGTTGCTTTCTCTGGAAAGATTATTGGTGGTACACTTGCAGCTAGGGCAATGAAGCTTGTCTGGAGAGAAAGTTTCTCAATAGGCGTCTTGATGAGCTGCAAGGGTTTGGTGGAGCTTATTGTGCTGGTAAGCCACGTCTATCAATATAATTATCCGGTGCTGATACTGACGGGAACATAGAATATTGGCCTCCAGGCAAGGATCTTGTCCCAGAGGACATTCACCATATTTGTTGTAATGGCTCTGGTCACTACCGTCTCTACAACCCCCCTTACAAAATGGCTATATCCTCCATGGTACCAGAAGAAGCTCGAGCGGTGGAAACGTGGCGAGATTGATTGGGATGGCAACCCGCTTGAGCCCAAGAACTCAAGTCAATCTGATTCTGTTTCTCACTTACGAGAATTTAGAGTTCGTCGCCTCCTGATATATCTTCGCCTGGATAGTCTTCCGAGTC